TTCGAGAATCGAAACCTGACACCGCCGGTGGACTTCGGTAGTTGACAGCATCGTTGTCATGTGGCACAAAACCAAATCTATCCTATTAGGGTCTTTGGTACTAAGCTGCCCCAAGTTGTATACAGTAGGCTAACTGACGTCTACTATCAGAGGGACTTTAAGCGACCGGTGGAAAGTACAGTCCACGGATTAGAGAACGGTCATGTACCTGGATGACCATGAATAGGTGGGTATTGCTCCGCAGAATAAGCGATCGCAGATGATAAACGGCGATGCTCGGGGATACAGCGAGTTGTTTGCCTGTAAAAGAGAACCCACGATTGTTAGCAGAAAGCGGGAAAATGTGGCGTACTACCAAATAGGTCAACCACTATCACCTTGGATTATGCAGACTCTAGGACATTAGGAATAGGAGCAAAGAAAATGGCCCAGTGGTACTGGGGTTTCCGATCTGTGCCATATTCTCAAGATTCTTCATCAATTTGACCATGAAGATAATTTATTCTCATATATGACGAAGTCGTTTAAAAACGAAACGAATACTTTGAATCTCATAGGTCAAATCGCGGGTTGTTATAATTCCGCAGTCAGTTCGCGTGACCACCATTCGGCATACGAAGTTGTATGATAAAACTTTCAAATGGTGTATATGAAATGATCAAATTGTAAACAGGATAGTTTTGCATACGCAAAAAATGAATTGGTGAATTCTTCAATTGACTCTCATTAGAATCACAACAGAACGCGCTCAAGTATTTTAAATGAAAGAGATCAGTCGGATTCACTTGTCCCCATGGCCATTTATTTGCTTGAAGGGTCGAAAACATTCAGTATATAGAGTGCAAACGTTCTGGCAAATATCCATAAACTGTTGCTAATAGTATTCAAAAATGTCGTTTCCGGAACATCTGAATGCATGCCCAAACTCAGGATGGTCTCTCTTTGGTGAAATATATATACAGATCAAATACGATTGTTAATTTAACAACTTCCATTGATTTCCTCGCATTTTCTTATGATGTCTATAATCAGTTGCACTTATGGACTTTATCTACCGAGAATGTTAGACAATTGTGTATTTGATGTCCATCAGTGACGCATCAATTTTCTCATAGTTTTGATTGATCGATTAGAATTTTAAGCCAGCACTGAAAGGATTCCAACTATTGTCATGTATTATTTATTGTGAGTTTGAAACAGTTTCCAAGGGAGGGGAGCTTTGTACAATAGCAGTCACACACGTGAAACATATGGTCAGGAGAAATTCCATGTATTCAACAAAAAATGTGTTTGTATGTATGTGTGTATGTGTGTTTAACGGAAATCAGGTGCTGTTTAAAAAATGTGACGAGGCATGTACGTGATCAACCGTGCTCAGTTGGAGAATACAGCAAACCACAGGAAGCAGACAGAGAACGATGTGTGTGGGGGGGGGCGGGCGAGAGATCTAGAGACTTTGAATAACAGTTTTGTCAGAGGTTGTTTTTAGTTGCGATCACTAAAATTCCTTATCACAATTTTATTGGTTGTCTTTATCGCGCAACAAAATTCGTCTCTGGTGAAAAGCGAGTACCATTTGCAGTTTGCTGTTGTTGTTCATGTTGTTGTTGATGATGGTGATGCTGTCGCTGTGCTTGGAATGTGGGGGGAATAGAATAAATTGTAACACTTCCATTCAGCATGGTTCGCTCATTTGCGTGATTATCCCCGTGCACCGATGGTGTTGGCGGTGTGGACGAGGTGCATAGATCTGGCAAGTTAGTCGAGGCTCGGAGGAGTTCGTGAATATTTTGAGTAAACCGATAAACGTATCGTTTTCCGGAAACTTTTTGTATGATCCGTTTATCGTAGTAGTATCGTAGTCCGCGGCTCAATTTTTCGTAATTCATTTTTGGCTTATTCTTCCGCGCACCCCAACGTTTGGCCACTTGATTCGGATCCTTCAATTTGAATTCCCAATCATTCCCAGTCCAGTGAATAAACTCGCGTGCTTGTGGATTGCGAAGCTCTTCCAATAGGAACTGCCACAACTGTATCGGTCCACTGTGCAGAGGATTTGACCCCAAGGTTGACTGAATCACATCATGTGGACCTGTCGGTCCACCGAGGGACGTCTGATCCGACGAATTTAGAGCAGAATCGATTGGGATAACGGTTCCATTTGTGGGAGGCCAGTTTGTTTCCGATAGGATTTTTGTCATAAATGGGAACCGTTCAGATTCGCATGAGCCACTTGAAGTTTGGGTAGAGTGTGTGGACTCCTGCGGGGGATCTACCATTGTTGAACTCGATGTCTGGTTCTCTGTGAAGTAAAAGGGGAAATAGTATGGATCGAACAATGATTAGAGTGATTGAAATACCGCTGGGTTGAAAATTTTCTACCCTTTTCGACCGAAATCCTACAAATGAAAATATGGAATCGATATTTTGTGCAAACCATCTGCTGATTTTGAGGTTTGAAGAATATAACATTCTCAGTTTAAGTGCCACGCCCTACCATTATTCTGGCAATGGGGGCTACATCTAAACTCAAGCTTAGGGATGGCAAATTCGAGATGGTCATTATTGGGAGTTGCTTTATCTTGGGAGGGGGGGCTGACGGAACAATTAGCTCACTTCCTTAAAACCCCAGTAACGTACGCCAATCCACGGTTTTGAGAGTTGGTCACTTCGTGAAATCAACCGCATTTAACCACTGATACCGCTTGTCCTTGTATCTCCAGAATACAATTAGAACAGTGAACCCAGAATAATGAATTTCACGAAAGAATCTTCACGTCAGGCAATCCTAGTAGCTCCGTGAGCTTAGACGACCGAAACACGGACTGTACAAATCGGTTCTATAACTGCCACTTCGTGTTGCACTTGCACGAGCCAACACAAGTTGGGAGCGGGAAAAAATAAATTGGGCTTATGCGATAAAAGCACTAATGCAAATAATTGGCAAACTTTCGGCTGGGATAGCCAAGTACGTGGAATACCTATGACTGAAGACACTAGCAGACATTGTTCAAAACTTATGTTGCAAACAAGAATCTATGGACTCTACTTTTGTACATACGAGTCCAGGAAACAAGCCGTTTCTAGAACTTTATTCTTAACTTTGTGATAGCATTCTTCCACACTAACTATACTACCCTACTATTTTCCTCACTGATTCTAGGGAAATAGAAAGCTTCCACTTAATTCTCCTGGTCACTTAAACATTGATAGAACTGTTATGGTAGAATTGGTTTATTTTTAACATTTTCGGGGTATGCAATATGGTTATTGATACGATAATTCATGATGAAGATAGGGAACATAGCCTGCGTCGCGAACTAAAGAAAGCCGTGTTGCTTCCACGAACGTTATCCAAACTCCTCAAGGAACGTACATCTCCAGATATACAACATATACCGTGTTCTTTACATCTCTCACTTAATTTTATCATAGTCTTCACTTGTCTCGAGGAAAGGTTCTTTCGTAGCAATTTTCCCCACTACATTGTCCAATTTATTATTTATTTATTTATTTTTTATCGCACTATTCATATGGCGTACCACTTCGTAAACTGTTTAGAATTGATCTTTAGGGTGCCTAAAGCATTCCGAGAATCAACTTGTCTGCGTCACACCGGTTACGAGACAGTTGTCTGTTGACTTCAAACTGAATCTCTTTTCATATTACTCTTCCCATATTGTGCAATTTCCCTGTCAATTTTCATATAATTTGTACATGGAGTACATGGACTACTTTAGATTTTCTATACGAAGTTAATGTAGCACGATTTTGAATAGGTGTTTTCTTCAAAATGCCTCTTAGAAGTGATGCTTTTGTCATCCAGTTCATAGACTGCTTACCGATTCCAGACGCACTGCTCTCAAAAGTCCATGCCTCGGTCCCGTTGGAGTTCGGCGAAGCTCCGAGCTCCACCGATCGGGCATAATTGCATCCGGAATCTTCTTGATTGGAGTTCATGGTTGCTATATCATGGGCGATGCCGAAGACTGCATTATTATGTGGAATACCCAATGATGGGTCGTTCGAACGCATCCCATTTGGTGAAGATACGGTCACTGGAGTCATAGTTATATCCGATAATCCAGCCGAAACCGAACTGGAAGTCCTTGTCGTTGTATTAGTCCCAGACTCAAACACTGCCGGATACATGTGCTAAAAGCAAAACAAATTTAAATAAGGAAACCTGATCCGTTCAGTCTTTAAAAGCATTGTTCCATAAGAATTCAAGTTCAGGTGCAAATAAAAAACCGACTGACTGACTGATTGACTGCAGCTGACT